GCCAAACATTAAACCCTAAACCCTAAACCGAGGTAGCTCAACTATTAAGACACAGACATGGCTCCCGAAAGTTGATGCAAAGGATGCAGAGCACCACAACGCCCAGCATCACTAGCATCATTCCTTGCGGTATAGGGTTTACACTCTCACAACTCGGACAATCCAGGCGGTTTAGGGTCTTTTTTTTTTGGTCTAGGGTTTAGGGTTCAGGGTGTTTTGAAGGGAAAGCTCTGTTTCTCCTGCACACTCGGACTACCACTATGGTGGAGCCTTGTTGGGTTTTAGGGCTGAGGGTCTTTATGGCCGATCGAGCACACCTGCCATGTGCCAAGTTGCACGCCATGCCACATGACTGGTAAGTTCTGCAAGAAGAAACAACACAAGGCCTTCTTGTTCCACCGAGATGCCATCGTTTTGAACATGCGGCATATAAAGGGTAATCATCGCCTGAGCCGGCTTTGAAGCAGAACAAACCCTCCCACTCCGGCAATCTATTCGACTACTCAAAGAGCAATGATTCAGCCCAGCAGCAAAGGCAATAACATCCAAAGCAACACCTCGGAGTCATGCCACAGTAACATCCTGAACATCAACACAAGGCCCTCGCCAGGGCACGCAGCTGTCTAGACCGAGGAGCTTTCCAACATCTCCCAGACTGATGGCGGTCGCAAACGAGGAGGCATCCGCGCAACCATCACGAGCGCTGCAGCGAACAGCAGCGAAGAAGCCAGTCGCAGCACAGCTGAGTGCAAATCAGAGATTGCAAAATGGAGGGGCCTTAATCATTGGAATTGTGTTTGGGGGTCGTATAATATAATAAGGAACCCCCTTGTTAAGACCCTTTTTAAGCACGGACTTGGAAACCCTAAACCCTGTTGTAAAAACCCTAAACCGCTGGTGGTTGCTGCCGTGTTGTGCCTTGCCACCAGCTCGCCGGACCGGCTGCATCTGCACATGCTACAATGACCTGAACCCAAGGGGCCGAGGGGGTCGCTGCGCAGCATGTTTAGAGTGAAGTTTCAGGATTTTGTGTTTATTTCCCTGAAATACACAAAACCTTCACATAAATGATTACATAAACGTGTATAGATACTTATACATACATACATACATACATACATCTATATATATATATATATATATACATAAGTGCGCTTGAAACCACGGCACGGTGAATTGTGGTGCCAACATCGCTGCTTCACTGGCCGAAGTGCGGAATGCCGCCTCCGAGCCACCTCGCAAAGCAACTTTGGCGAAATTCAATCCGCGGCCGCCATCTCGAAGGAAGTCTATTCGTCGACAATACATACCAGCTTCTAACATGTTGGGCAATGTTGGGCATAGCGATAGACAGTTGATGAAAAGACGGGAAAGGGATGGACACAATTCTAGCGATTCGGGTTACCTCGCTACGGTTCTCCCGGAGGTGAAACATATAGCATCCCAGAGCATCTCAACCAGCAAAACCATCAAACGCCTGCAACAACCTGCCAGCAGGCATTTCTCGTTGCAATCCTAACTGTCTGCGGAAACCTGAGATTTCACTCTGAAGCGAATTGCAGCGCGACTCCACACACACAGCCCCGAACCTGCCCATCCGAGATTCTGCACTGCCAAAGCAGCATGCGGCACGGCAAAACCTCAGATGATCTCAGATCCCAGAAGCTTTTCCTCGCCAAAGCAGCTGGAGGTTCTTGCACCCCTTGATGCAGGACAATCATTAAGAAAGCCCTGGTTGGCTGACTCTTTCTCGGAACTTTGCCAAAAACAACGCGGTCTTGCATGGCCGATGACACAGTGCGACCAATGCTGCTGCTAATTCCTCGGCTCGTCTTCCACACGGGTTCAAGCATGGGACATACAGTTCAGGGTGTATCGAACCCGGACCTTTTTAAGTTTTGTCCTGGCATTCAAACACCCAAACGGCAACCTTGCAGTGCTATAGCATCAGTATAAAATACTTACAATAAGACCATTGTGGTAACCTTATAGTACTACCCTAATAATACCCCTGTAGTTGTCCTACCCTTGTAATCCCCTTCTTGTCCCTATTAATACGAAGAAGCTTATAGTCCAGGTCATCTTCTGAAGCCGACAAGCCGCGCTGCTCGACACGGAGGTGCCGAGGGAAAAGATGCCAAGGCAGAGCCTGCTCCAAGTAGTATACTACTTGGAGGATCATGGGACTTAGTAAGTAGGGTTGTAAGTGCCTAAATTGGGGTTATAAGTACTTATAGGCATAGTTATCGTATTTATAAGCCCACTTACCAAGTCCCATGATCCTTTAAGTAGTACGGTTGATAATATAAATCCTGCATTACCTTAATGGCCTTAAGCTATGGGAATTATGACATATTTTTACTATGGGTAATGCAGAATTTATATCATCAAACGTAGGAGACTATAAAGATACTCTAATACTGCAGGACTACTCACAAGAATTGCGTAAGGATACGTGTTTGTAGGCTTGTTTCCTAGCTGTGTACTATAAGGTTACTTCAGGGTACTACAAAAAAACCTGCTTTTGAAGTGTGAGATGACTTTACCATGGCGATACGATGCCATGACCATACTGTACCGTTACTATCAGGAAGCTCTCAGATGACTAGAAGGGTATTGTTTGCTATTACTAAGAGGATACTTCAAGGTTGCTAGACTGGTACTATGCGGGTACTGTCAAGGTGGCATCAGGGTACTATAGGAGCTTTCAGAATGCTCGCAGAAAACACAACGCTACTGTAAGGATACTATAAGGGTACTATAAGATTACTGTGAGGTCATCGGGTTACTATATGTGTACTATAATTAAATACGACAAGGGTATTACCTGTATCAACTGACCAGAAACGGTCTGTAAAGACTTGTACAGTGGTAGGATCATAGCAATTCCAAAAACAGTTCTGCAAAATGCAGCCGCGCAACGTAAGTATGCACAAGAAAATGCAGCCGAAGCTTACTCGATGAGCCAAAGCAATGAAATCTTTGTTGCGGCGGGACTGCGAGATAGCCATCCTGGGGGCACATCGTGGTCGCTGGCACGTCGCACGAAACAAGCAGCGGGACTGATTTAATGTGCACATCACTGCGAAGATGCAACACCGCCAACTGCACAGACCAGCCGCAACCTTGGAATGATGGATTCCTTCTGATCCAGCGGCAACCCCATGCCCTCTTGGTCGATGCGAAGCGATCGAATGATCGTGAGCAGGACCCCGCCGAACCACCACACGATGCCGCATACAAAAGTCAGCCTGAAACGTTTGCGAGTGCGTCACTACTGGAGTGTCAAGCACACGGTCTCAGACACTTGCACACACACACAAACAAACAAATACACACTGATGCGACCGCGAAAGCTGAACGGTCAAGTAAGGACGGTACTGTTCAGCTACGCGGAGGAACCAGGGCAGTTGGGAGTTCCAACTTTTGTTGGACAGACGCACGGCGTGCAGCACCAACGCAGCCACGAGGGCATACGAAACCTGACATCAAATTGCGCGAAACTCCAAGCTTGCCCACAGGCAGACACATCACTCTGCGTCGACGAATTCACATTCACCTGTTGCTTAACCGAGCAGCTGCCCAGGAATGGGCCACGCCACACGACAGCACCGCGCCAGTGCTGGCACTAAAAGTACGGAAGCGACGCTCCTGACGCAAAAAGTATGCTGAACGTGCCCTAAACATGTCGCGATGCTCACGACCTTGCTTAGTCTATTGGTTCGGCTCCGAATCGCCCACCTTGTAGAGAAACCAGGTAATGATGCCGCGCACGCACAGGTAAAGAAGAGGTTGCATGACACTTTGGCGGCTACATGTGGGAGCAGAAATTTCTTGAGAACATGAACACTCGCTGTCCCGGCAACGCACGTCTGCATAGGTCTGCAGCAACATATATGCCAGAGCGTGATTATGGCAATGATGCAGTGATAGTCAACTGTATCGGACTGTGCCAGGATTTGGTAACTATATGGACGCTGCAGTCTATCTGCGGTGTTGGCAGCTTCCCCTGCACTGCTTTAAAAGAACCTGCGGCCATGCGACCATGCGATATAAAGGCTCACATCAGACACATCATATGCGCAGATAGTGATCCCACACATGTGCAAGCTTCAGTCATGCGTGTTTGCCGATGCAGCTGCTACTACTAACTCATGGACCCACATAGATCGCTTTCACACCCAACTCCTGCTGCACCCCATAGGCCCTATGACCTTGACACTTTACACAATTTTGCCAAAGGCAACTAACTCATACTACCTGACAGCCGAATGACTTAGGGAAATTCTGGAGGCCAAGATCTGGCAAGTTCGGGGCATTGTCTGTGTTATGTTTTTTCCAAAATTAAAAAATATTTGCTATATTATTTGTTATTGAATAATATTGAATATATATATATATATATATATATATATATATGTGTGTATTTTTTATTTTGGAGAGCTTTGGCAAGTTCGGGCTCGGAGGTCGACCGGTTTTGAGTTTGGGATGGTTCGGGGCTACTGCAATCAAGACGCCCAGGCCTCCCTGTAACGCACAGCCCCGATAGATGCAGTGCACCAGATGGCTTGACGGAAGAGGCTCCAGGAAACCCTAAAGCCTGGTGGTCCTAAGCCCTAGATTCCTAGACCCTAACCGCGTGCGCAAAATTGCAAAAGAACCCTCAACATTCCGCAAGCCTGAGCGGAGCTTCTTCCCCGCTCAGCGGCTAGGATTCCGGTCCGGGCTGCCCCGAGTGCGGATTGGAGTTTTGGGTTTAGCTTTTGGGGTTTAGGTTTCGGATTTTGAGGCGGCCAGCAACAGATACGAATACAATCCCACGCTAGCCGGCATGCATGTGTCGCCCGCGATGTTCCGCCGCCTTTGTGCGCTGCTGCCGCAGAGTGAGAGCAACTCAGGACATTGCTGAAGCAGGTGGTGGTGCGGGAGGGTTTCCAGGTTCAACGTCGCTAGGTGCAAGCGAGTCATGGAGACTCGATCCTCCATCTTCTGATTCTGTACTACGTAACATTGAGCGGCTGCCGCTGCCTGTAGAAAGTCAGATCTCCTTCACCTTTGAGCTGCAAGCTGCAAATATCAGCTATCGTCCAGTTCTTTGAGCCAGCCAGCCTGCTGGGCTTCACCCGGGAGAACAAGTGTGATAGTCGCTAAAACCCTACACACAAAAACCCTAAACTAACTGTAACATGGAAGACCCGGGACAGTGACAAAATTCGCAGTGAAGCTGCCGAGCTTACTACGGCGTTTTCACGTTGACGTTTGCAGGATTTACGCCGACCGAACTCTAAAATTGCAATAGGCAGTGGTGGAGCAGAAGCTTGCGACTACTACTAGTAAGTCATTTTGCTCGCCAGCCTGCATATCGGCTTGAAGCCGAGCTTCATCATCTCAGCGACAATGTGATCGCACATCGGCTGGTTCACATACCTCGAGGACGGACAGCAACAAAACAGTCAGGACAAGAACCTCTTGCCGGCCACTGTAAATGCCAATTCTAGCAGTTCTAACACATTGAAGTAATTATATTACATATCTACTCATATCTAAGTCAAGGCACACGGACTCGTGACTTTTTGGAAGGGCTTCCATCTGAATCCTGTGCACCTTGTGCATCTGAGATCCGAGGGAACGAACCACATCTAGGTCCTTCCCTTGGGCATCAATTTTCAAGAAAGAGATATGGCCACCCAGGAGCAGATCCCGGATCACAGTCTCAAGAGAAATGCAGGGCACCAACCGTACATCCATCTCTTTCGCGCACGTATCCTTCAAGTCCTTGAACCAGTGCGACCACCCCTGTCCTCGAAAACCTTCTGAAATGTTAAGGAGACTGCTGCACACGTCGGCCAGGCCCACGTGGAACAAGGCCACTTCGTCGGATGGGGGACAACCAACCGCATACGGCAGCATGACACCTCTCGAGTAATGGGCGCCTATGGTGCTGGTCGCATCGGAATTCGCGACCCAAGATGTAATGAGGTCGGCGTATTTGTCCAAGAGAGGCTCGAAAGACACCAGGAATCGTCTGTCGGCTGGCGGCAAGCTGTCTCGCAGCAGAATCACGTTATTGGTGCCGACTTCCAACATGAACTCGGCCGGAGCCTCTAGGTGGGCCCAATTTTTCGAAAACGGTACCGGTGCGACCTGAAGAGGAGCAACCAATAGCTCCTTTCGCTCAAAACGCCATGGAAGAACAGACGGAACATGCAATGATGCGCAGGACCCTCTTCCCTGTCTGAATTCCACAACCTTGTACAACTTCTCATGTGTTGCACATGCTTCCACATCTTTTCCACCCTGTTGCGGCAGGAAACCCAGGACCACGAGTGTCCGCAGCGTCTCCAAACACTCAGATCGTATTGCTGGAAGCTGCAAATAAATTTGGTCTACCCTCCCGGCAAGTGCACCTAAAGACTGGAGTGCTCGCAGAGGGTGAGTTGACAGCTTTAGAGCTGCCACGCACCGTCCTTGAAGCCAATGCTTAATCACATCTTCGAAGGATAAGCATGGCGCGCTCACACCATCCACCACAACGCTGCATCTTCGCCTTACCCACCTTTGCCAGCCCCTCTTGCCTACTGCTGTCGTCACACCGAAGTCAGTGCTGCATCCGTGCGTACTACATCCCAGCGCGAACGGCAAGACCATGGATCGATTGGTTTGCCAGCCCAAAGCCCGAAAACGCATCGACCCGACCCCCGCGCTTGTCATGACTCTCAAGTAGCGCCCGAAGCGTGGCTCGAAGGTGATCAGGAAACCTGTTTCCAACCTCGCACCAAGCTCGTCGCGGAAAAGATGCCCTTCTGTTGCTCCGACTTCTATGAAGAGCTCAGTGGGTGATGTCGCCAAATGGTCCCAATTTCTTTCCAAGGGCAGCTTTCCCACGTGGATAGGCGCAACAAGACCTACGGCCGGTGCAAATGCAAGCCACTGTAAAGCCAAAGGGACATTTTGAATATACATCACGATGTATACCACTCAGCCGGGACGTTCATGGCTGTGTCGCGGAGGATGTGAGAGCTACCGGAACCAACTTTCATGTCCAGAATCTGCCCCGAACAGACAAGGCCCAACAATATCCAACAATATCAGATATTCAATTGTATTTTAAAAGACACGACAACCGCGAACTGCAATCTGTCACAAGCTGTGGCATGCTGCAACAAGCGGACCACTGCGACCGTGCGACATCATGAGTGCCTTCAGGCCTTGCTCTCCCGTGGCACAAGGGATCCAATATATGTGAGTTTTGTTGTATTTTCACGCGCTGTTTTACGACTGCGAAAATAATCCCAAGTCCGTCTGCGTCACGCAACTACCACTGGCAGTCTACTGAGTCTACTGCTGGTCGCTCCGGGAGTCGGCCAGAACCTCATGCAGCTCGACAGTGTACGACAGCCAGGAGCCCAGACCAGCGCGAAATCCAGGCAACAATCGTGGAGGACCTCAACTGTGCGGGTACAGCGGCAGCCCGGTGTCGTGCGAGGAAGCACAGGAGTCCAAACCTGCTGCCAACCTCAAGGCCGACAACAACAACACGGCAGCGCCGCGCACGTTCGAGCTCTGGCTATAATGTCGCTTGCGCGGGGCTGCGGCCGGCACAGGGCGAGCTGAGACCCGTGCCGTGCCACAGAGGAAGCCCGTTATCTCAATGCGCCGCTCATCCGAGACAAGCACATCTCAGCAAGTCGGACGTGGCGGGCGACCCGGGCGCCGGCCTCGCGACAGACTCGTGCGACGGCATGCTCAAGGGGCAGCGCGCGCGTTGCCGAGGTATTGTAGGCCGAGCGGTGGTCGCTGAGCGTGTCAAGCGCACCGTGGCAGCGACATCTCCGCGGTGCAAGGGGAAGGGAAATCGCAATCTGCGCAGCGAAGAACCCGAAACTGCGCGCTGTATGGCTGTCTTTCGGTGCCACTTTCTGCAAAAATCCAAATTACGCGATGCATCCCAAATTCTCTCAAATCGTATCGAAAATGCTTTCGACGTCGAACTTTTCCTACTGCAAGCCGATTGTTGCAAGGTCGCGCCATCCAGCAAGAGCGAGATACATTCGGGCAAAGGCTGACAGCATTAAGCAAATAAGAGCGACCTCCAGAACACATGCTCGTTTCTGCAAAATCTTCCAACCCAGTGGCTCGGCCGCACAACAGCTCCCAACGTACAGGCCAATGACCGCAGACGTCGCGACCTGATTGTGTACGGAGACTGTATGGGGCCACGGCTGGCAGCGGCGCCCGCTGCTGTAACGCGACGTTGGTGTCGCAATGGTGTCGCAACTTACGCGCGATGGGCTTCCGCACCCGGGAGCTGCCCATGCTGACGGCATTGCTTTTCGCACTGCTTAAGGGGCGTAGGCGTGCCACGCATCTCGACCGCCTGCGAACGCCGCCGGCTTTGCGCCAGGCAACGGCAGAGGGCTTTCCGTCGTTGCAACCTGCGGTGGGCACAACTGCTTTGGGCCACCGCAGCTGGCGGCCGAGGCGGCGCGCCGGCTGGAGCACGTCTACAGGACGTGCTACGGCTTGCCCGCCCCTGCCTTTAGGCCCCGTACGGATCCGTAGGGTATAGCTCTACTGCGTATCCCCGTGAAATTCCTTGCAGCTCGGAATAAAGTACGTGAACAAAAATGTGCGCCATACCGCCGCCCACTGTCATGCCGAGATCGTCGCCGGTTCAACTCCGGCTGTCGCCTGCTTGCACGCATGCTTTAAGCCGCGCCAATTGGTCTGGCAACCCATGGCATTCACGTGGCCTATGCTTCTCCCTGCGCAATCCGCTGGCGAGCGGTGCCATCACAGGATGCGGCAAAATGTTGAAGAGCTCTTTCACCTGTCAGGGGCAATACCAGTGTGACGTCGCAGCACAATGTCTCATCGAGCAGTGTGACAACTTTAATCGGCCCCACCTAAGCATGCTGAACGGGCTTTGGTCGGTTCGCCACATTTGTGCAGAACGAACGGACAAGCATGGCCTGGGCAAAGTACGTTGCGCGTACAAGCAAGCGACAGACCCGTACAGACCCGTACTATAATGCTGCCAGCCTTGGCGCCATGGTCGCTCGCGGCTCACCCAAAAGCTGTTGCGACCAGAGCTTAAGGCGCTTCCTTGCCTGCAGACGTGGCGGGCGATGCAGCTCTGAGTGAGTTGCCCCGGTTCGTTGCCCAGCCAGTACGACTTCGAGCGGCGGCAGGAGCACTGCTACCCAAAACTAGCTGCGCCGCGGGTAGTGCCTGGCTTTGCAACGCATCCTTACCAAATCCCGGTGCTTGCTGGGTAACAACGCTGCACGACGAAGTCCCGCCCGCCCAATTGATAAGTCTTCTCCCGGTAAGCTGCGGCATGCACGGGGATCCCGACTTTCTTTGTGTATTGAATCGCCGTGTGGGAACAAACAAAACAAAGGCATGAAAAAGGGAAGTGGCAAAAGCATGCTGCCCACCGTGGTGACAACAGCATTGGTGAGTTCCATCAATGCCGGGGTTGGACTGAAAAATTTTCTTCTTGTTCCGCGCACATTTTACGCCTGCCCAAGAAAGTCCGGGTCCCCGTGCAGCTGCAAGCAACGGGCCCAAACGGCTCGGGGTGGGAGGGACTGCGTCGTGCAGTGCCCCGAGCGCGCTGGGGAGGCGGATCGATTTGGAGCGCCCACCAGCCTCGCACGCAAGGATGCCGAGGCGCTGGGGCCCCGCCGCAAAGCCATGCGGGAGAGCGGTGCCAGCCTCGCACGCATCGCCATGGGCAAGTGGCAAAGCGGGCAGCACCTCGGTTTCGCGAAAATGGGTAGAGCAAGTGCGTGAACCGTGATGGTGCCAGCCCTGCCACCTCTGCAGCTCGCATTGTGCGGGGCGTAGGTCGTTGAGCAGGTCGCTCCATATAACGGGCGGCCCGTCCAATTGGCACGCTCGAGCGTGCGGCCGGCCTTTCCAGCAGGGCGCAGACACGCGGCGGCCCAAGCGGGACCATGGGTGAGCTCGGCAAGGCAGCGGGCTGCCGCGTCGGGGCGGCGAGCGCGCAAAACAGGCAGCGTCGGCCCAAGCAGCCCAGTACTTGGAGGATCATGGGACTTAGTAAGTAAGGTTATAAGTACCTTAATTGGGGTTATAAGTAGTTATAAGTATAGTTACCCTAATTATAACCCTAGTTACTAAGTCCCACGATCCTTTAAGTATGCAGCGGGGGCGGTGCGGCGCGGCGGCGAGCTCGGGGTCAGTGTCATCCTCTTCGCCAAGCAGCGCGAGGAGGCATCGCCAAAGTGCACCGGGACCGGACTCTCTTGCGCACTCGTAAGAAAAGAAAAAAAACCAAAAAACAACCGTTTCCGGTCAACGTGAGACGGAAAGACGCAGCACACTTGCGGCGGCAGGCGTCAAGGCAGCCTTCGGCCTCAGGCTAACAAATCTTTGGAACGCCGTTGTTGCCTCTGACACACAGAAGAAAAGAAATATTGAAATACACATGAGCTGCAACCGAAGATCGAGAATATATATATATATATAATAGATGCATCGCCTGTTTCACAAGTTGAGAACGCACAAGGTAATGCTTATGATATATCTAACGACGGTCAGTCGTTATTATCATTGAATACAGCTTACCGCACGTGGTGCTGTGTATTGTAGTAATCTAGGATCTGGAGCAATAGCGGGAGGAACTACGAGATTAAATGTAACAGGTGGCGGTAGTGTTAATTTTGGTGGTAATTGTGTTTTAATGGCTCTGATAACATAATTTTTTTTTTTTTTACGCGCCTTTTTCCGTCAGCAGGAAGGTCCCGCTCCTAGTGGAGTACGGTCACGGTCCCGAGTTAGGGCCGGTTCAGCGCAGCGGCAGGCGGCTCGGCCCGTCTGGGTCGGCCAGGTGGAGGACTTCATCCAGGGCCGGCGCATCGGTGTGTGCCGGTCCCGGCATGGCCCGGGCGCGCCCTAACGCCGTGTGACCAACGGCCTGCTGGACCGCTACGGAGAGCACGCTCCACCAACGGCGGGCCCAGGCTGTCTTTGCGGAGGCTCGCAACGCAGGCGGGGCTCGGTACGCACGGAGTGCGACGAGGCGTTGGACCAGCTTCACTGCGTCAGCGTTCCACCGCCCACCCACTTCGCAGCCGAGCACGCAGAGGGCTTGTGCGCCACCTGCCGCGAGCTCGGAGTAGGTGGCTTGTTTGCGCCGATAGGCGGTGCGCAGAACCGCTCCATCCTGTGCGGCCGCGCCTGGGTGGGGTTCGCCGTCGCGCGTGAGAGGCGAAACTAGGGTCGCATCGCAGCAGAGCGCGCCACCCAGTGGCGCGGCGCCGTAGATGACGAGGTCGAGGCGCCTGCGGTCGTCGGGCGCGACGCCCAGCGCAGTGGTGTTGACGAGCCATTGTTGGGGCACTACGTGTCCCTCAGGCCCCACGGCTTCCCGTGCAACCTTGCACCAGGCCCGCTCAACAAGTTTGGCTCGCCTCGCCAGGAGGCCAGTACGAGGGCACGCGAGTGCATGGTCTCCAAGGGCATCTGCACGGTGGCCGCACCCAGGTTCCGAGGCGCTCCCGCAACGGCCAGGCGCGAGCGGGAGTGGAAGCCGGAGCCGGCGTGAGCGACGTGTGGGAATCGCTGGGGATTGCTTGCAGCCATGCACCGGCATGCGGACCGGCCTGGGAACGCAAGAGCGCGCGGTGAGGAGGTGGCAGAGAAGGCAGCAGCACGTGGTCGCGGAAGAAAAGGTTACGTGTACGCGACGCAGAGTGTTGCCACCCATGCCTCCATTCACCGGGCTCGGCGATCCCGTCAGGTCGGTCGGGTGGGCGGGCTCCCTGAACCACGCACTCCCAGGAAGGCACGTCCGTCCAGCCTTCGGCTGCAAGCAGCCCACGGGCCGCAGAAGCTGTTCGAAGGCATGCTGGGCCACGCGCGTCAGCGAGGCAGCGGACGGCCCAGTCCGTAAAGGCCGGGCACCGTTCGCGGAGCACTGTGAGGGCATCGGC